AAAAAAAAAAAGAAGAAGATGACATAAGGGAAATCTTCATGACTTTGGATTTGGGAAACATCTCACAAAGGTTTAATGTAAAGACTCTTTAAAACTCAGCAATAACAAATAATTCATCTAACTACAGAGTGGTATTGTGATATAAAAAAAAGCAAATAGTGCTCGCTTTGGCAGCACATATACTAAAAAAAAGCAAATAATTCAATTAAAGTGGGTGTAAGACTTTAACAGCTCTCTAAAGTAGACATACAGATGGCAAATGAGCATGTGGGAAAGATCCTCGACATCTCTATTCATTAGGAAACTACAAATTTTTTGTTGTTGTTCCAAGTTGGACCAGGGCCAGGTTTGAACCCTTCACCCTTGGTGTACAGGGCCGGTGCCCTACTCACTGAGCCACAAGTGCTGCCCATGAAACTACAAATTTTTTAAAACCACAAGATACTACTTTATACCCAGAAGGATAGCTATCTTTTTTTTTAAAGAAAATAACAAATGTTGTTAAAGATAAGGAGAAACTGGAACCCTCATGCATTGCTGGTGAGAATCTAAAATGGTACAGTTTGGGGGTTCCTTAAAAAGTTCAATACAGGCTCAGCGCCTATGGTTCAAGTGGCTAAGGCGCCAGCCACATACACCTAAGGTGGTGGGTTCAAATCCAGCCCGACCCACCAAACAACAATGATGGCTGCAACCAAGAAATAGCCGGGCATTGTGGGGGGCGCCTGTGGTCCCAGCTACTTGGGAGGCGGAGGCAGGAGACTCGCTTGAGTCCAGGAGTTAAGAGGTTGCTGTGAGCACTCTACCCAGGGGGACAGCTTGAGGCTGTCTCAAAAAAAAAAAAAAAGTTCAATACATAAACAGTGTAACCTAATTGTATATACCTTTACATTAATCTGAAATAAGAAAAAAACAAAGAAACAACAAAAAAAGTTCAATATAGAATGAGCATGTGACCCTGCAATTTTACTCTTGGTTATATATTCAACTGATTAGAAAACAGGGACTCAAAATGTCTGTATTAGTATTTTTTTTTTTTTTTAAGACAGAGACTCACTGTGTTGCCATTGGTAGAGTACTGTGATGTCACAGTTCACAGCGACCTCTTGGGCTTAAGTAATTTTCTTGCCTCAGCCTCCCATGTAGCTGGGACTATAGGCGTCCGTCAAAACGCTCAGCTATTTTTTTGTTGCAGTTGTCATTGTTGTTCAGCTGGCATGGGCCGGATTTGAACACACCAGCCTGAGTGTATGTGGTTGGTGCCCTACCCACTGAGCAAAAGGAGAGCCACCTCAGCATCAGTATTATTCATAACAGACAACAGTTGGAAATAACTCAAATGTCCATCAGCAGATAAATAAAATGTGGAATATACATTTGATGGAAGATTCTTTGGCCATAAAGGTTATGAATTTTAGATACAAAAACAACATGCCCAGGAAACTTGTTAAGTGAAACAAGCCAGATACAAAAAGACAAATATTGTGTAAGAGATATCTAGAATAAGTGAATTCATAGAGCTAAAAATAAAACCGGTTACAAGGGGGTAGGGTAGAGGGAATAGGCAGCTACTGCTTAAACTGGGGTGATAAGAGTTCTGGAGATGGGACAGTGGTGGGAATAAGACAACAAAGTGGATATATATACAACATCAGTAAATTGTACAGTTAAAAATGCCAAAAGTTTGGCTGGGCACAATAGCTTACACCTGTAAATCCCAGCACTTGGGAGGCCGAGGCGGGTGGACTGCCTGAACTCACAAGTTCAAAACCAGCCCAAGCCAGAGTGAGACTTCGTCTCTAAAAATAGCCAGGTGGTTGTGGTGGGCATCTGTAGTCCCAGCTACTTGGGAGGCTAAGGCAAGAGAATCACTTGAGCCCAGGAGTTTGAGGTTGCTGGGAGGTATGATGCCGCGGCATTCTACTAAGAGGGATGACAAAGACAGACTCTGTCTCAAAAAGAAAAAAAAAAAA